CCAAACTTTGATAGATCCCTGTTCTTTAAATAAAACAGGGCACACACTGACACCTGATAGTCATCTCACTGATTAAAAACACCTCTGAACAGATGGACTCTAATTTCACCTTCAAATTAACAGCTAATCCTAGAGATTCACATACTTTTGCTGCTCACAGATATGTAATATTGGATCATTTTCCTGAATAAATAAATAAATGACAAAGTATATATTTTCATCTCATTTGTTTGATCGGGTTCTCTTTGTCAACTTTCAGGACTTTTTTCAGGAAATTTTGATTATGTTTTGTGTCATATTTATGCACGAGTTCATCCCCAGTATAACCTTTTATATGAGAAGTATCTACAAGTGTGTTATTGCCTTTTAAATTTCCTGTATTCTTACACCATGCTGACCAGCTGGCGACCCGAGTGTGTTATTGTTATATGACCATTTGGCTCTGTTTCTCACTCTCTCTGCAGTTAGTAACACTCGATTCATTGCTGCTGTTATTGAGAGGCACACACACAGTCCAGAACGACGGCGGAGATATTGGGGCCGGTCAGGGACAGAAAGTGACCATGGTAAGAGTGCGTATGTCTGTGTATGTGCACTCCTTCCTCAAAGTCTAAAGGAAAAACGATATTAGTAGGTCTGAAAAGATCCTTTTGAAACAAGGGTCAAAGAAAAATTCAAAGGCGTGACCATCAAATTTCTCACCTAAGAATATATTGAGAGTTTTATTATTGAAATAAAGCAAAGCCTTCCCCGGGAGCTCAGTGTATGCTTGTGTTCCGCCTCTATTTCATTGGCGGCTCCAGGCTTGGGTTACATGGAGTCTACAGTGCATGCTAAATCTGCCGCCCCTCAGGGACGAGGCTTTCTGGAGATCATTGTGTAACCAGCAAGAGGAGAAAGGGCAGCCCTATTCCACAAGGAGAGGTGCAATGAGAGACCTGGAGGAAGAAAGCCAGCAAAGTGGGTGGATTGAGAGATGCGAGAACAGTTAGAGATGGCAAAGACCAAGTACAAAAGTTTCTTCCCTGTATTTTTATTTGGCATGGTTAAAGGTCGCCTCCCACTGGCTGCTCAGTCATCCAGATTAAGGGGTCGTTTTAAAGCAATATCGATTTGGCTTTTGAGCGTGCGTATGCAGGAGAACAGCTCCGAAGCCTTTTCCTGTGCGCTCTGACTCATTACCGCTCCACCAACACAGAGAGTTTTTGCCAGGAGCAACGTAGATGTATACGAGTATTCGCTTCAGATCGAGGTTTAAAGAATTTCTCTAAACAGAAATGTGTTTTCTGCCAGGAACTGAGATGCTTTTTAGTACTTGTTTGCTTGCTTGGCTCTTTGATATGTTTAGGGATAGATCCTGATCCAGAATCAGTATCCCAGCTCTTTCACTCTCACTGCAGTGTTTCAAAGCTGGTTCCAGATCTGCTCTGAGACTGCTCATGCAAACATTGATCAAAGTCAGGATCATAAGAGGTTTTTGACCTTTCTTTTCACCTCTGATCCCGTTTCAAATGTCACATGTGGCTGGACATTTGGCCACCTGACAGCAGGACAAGACCTTTTTTGTGCTCTTTGTACTCTTAATTTAATTCAGGATGTGCTGTGACTGTTATTATATTAAGTTTCCAACAGTTTGTTTTTTGTATGCACTGTTAGCTCCCCTCCCACCATATAAGTTTAGTTGCCAGTAACTGTCTAATCTATTATTCTCTTCAGCTACTTCATGTGTCTTTTGTATTGTTGTCTAAACAGGAACATTGGCAGTTTGACAGGGGAAAGTGGATTTGGGTAGATAACAAATAACATTGACATCAGCTTCTTCTTTCAACGTCAGGATTTTAAGTTTAAATTTATGTATAAAGGAAGGTGTATGTTTCAGATGATGTAACATTGATGTAACAAAATCACATTATATGTTTTTTTCCCTCTCTCTCCAGTTTGACGCATTCAAAATTTGAAAGTAGAAATATTCAATGTAGTCTCTCAGTATAAAGTCTGTATGTTTAAAACTGTTTGTATAATAATAGGCATTGTAGGAAGTAGGCATCAAGGCATTGGTCCTCAATGCAAATCTATTGCACTGAGACAAACTGATAATAACATGAACACTACTTTGCACTATTACCATTCCTCTGCACCACAACTTTATAATTATTACAATCATTACTGCTACTGTATGAATACATTTATAACAAATAGCTGTTTATAATGATAATTTTGGATTGCACTGATTAAAACATTTTTATTTGTATCCCTGATCTGTATTATTTTCAATATATTTATATATTATTTTTTATTAGGTTTCTGAACACTGCTGTTAAAACGTTTGTGGGCAGTAAGATTATTTTTCTTAAAGAAATGAATACTTTATTTGGCAAGGATGCATTAAATCGATCTAAACTGACAGTAAAGACTGAATTTTGATGACTTTTTTTTTCACCTGTGATATAAAAATGTTTCTTGAATACTAAATCATCATATTAGAATGGTTTTTGAAGGATCATTTGACACTGAAGACTGGATTAATGGCTGCAGAAAATTCTGCTTTGCCATCACAGTAATAAAGTACATTTTAAATTGTGTTAAAATAGAAACAGTTATATTAAATTGTCATAACATTTCACAATATTACTGTTTTTATTGTATTTTGATCAATTAAATGAATATATATATATCTTACTACTTGGTGTCATGTCACGTTACGCTATCATGAGTCTGTCAGATCAGTACAAAATGAGAATGTTTTATGTGAGGAGTGTGAGATTAGAATGGATTAGGATTCGTTAAGATGATTAGTTTAATGAGCAACTTAAATTATCATGTTTTTAACAAGTTTCCATCAGCAGTATCTACAAAATGACACAGAGACATAACTAGATTTAAATGTCCATTCTCAGTTGAAAATTTCCTTTCAGCCATTGTTTTAGAGATACAAAAAGCTGTTAGCTACACTTGTAGAACATTTTAGATTCAGTCAATTTTATACTGTAGCTTCCGAAAAAATATTGATTGTGATTCTTTGTCTATTTATATGTAGGTTACAGCACCATGAGCCCTCAGGAGGACAGCGAGAACCCGCCCTGCAACAACGATCCTCTCTCTGCAGGCGTTGATGTGGGCAATCACGATGAGGACCTCGACCTGGACACACCTCCACAGACAGCTGCTCTTCTCAGCCACAAGTTCCACCCCTATCGGCACCCCCACATGCACCACCCCCTGCACTTGCACACGCATCATCTCCAGGCCGCCGTCACCGTGCACAGCGTGGATGCCGAGTGCTGATCCTGCCCACCCGTGACCCCAAACCATCCGCCAACCCTGCCTTTGATGCCACTGCTAACTTCATCCACCACCATTCAGGCCCTGCATCCTGCAAAAACGAGGAGAGAACCTTAACTCCCAACTTTCCCTGGGCATCTGCTGAGGCGGTCAGAGGTGTTTTGTGCTTGTTGACCATGGGGGGCGAACATTTGACCTCTGTAGAGGTCATTAGGGAGTGGATTTGGCAGGTGCATACGATACAAAGCTCCTTATGTTTTTTTTTTTCAAGAAACAATGAAGATGAAAGGATTATTTTTCTACTATTTATTTAACAGGAGTGGAGATGGAGATCATGAATGGAAAAAATGAAAGTGACTGACTGACTGAATTTGTCAGCTTTCTATTAGGCCTATAAAGCCCTTTTTAGGACCCGGCCCAGGTTTTCTCTTTGACTAGACTGCGAAGCAGCCTTGAAGGATTCGATTCATGGCACATTTGATTCATACTCACGCCTTGAGAATTTCTTGTGTGGAGAGTAAACAAAACATTTCAAGGAACAATAGACACAAATGCCTGCGCTGCACATCAAGGAGATGTGAAAATGTGGCGTATTCTGAGGAGCTGTCGCTCTCTGCTTTGTTTTGTTTGGTTTTTTTCGGCGGTGTTAGATGATGGTGAATCTCAAGACACTGTGCAATGTGACCAAGGTGTTCTGGGCCACAAACCCAGTGCAGGAAATTTTCAATATTTTAAAGAAGCCTGGGAGACAGACTGTGCTCAGTATGTGTATAAGCTGTCGTTGTATTTCTGTCTGCCCGATTATTTTACATTTAGTGTACGAGAGAGAGAAACAGAGTGTGCTTGTGTACGTAATTGTGTGTGAATGTGGTGTGTAATGGCGCAGATGGATCATCTCCAATAATGTTGTTTTTTTTGAGTCATTAGTCAGTATTGATGGAATGCCATGATATTTTTCAGATCCTTCTAAACCCATGTGCACTTTTACTCAACTGCTTGTCTACTGATATGTAGACATTGTGCTCCTATGATTTTAGAGGGATTGTGTCTATTGTTTCAGAATGAAATGATATACCATGTATATACATCTAAAGATTAACAAAATAGCTATAAATGTGTCATACACTACAAAAAACTTTTTATCCTCGTCAGAAGTGTTTCATTTTGTCAGTGTTTATTGAATTTTCTGCATATGCTTTTAAGTTGCATTGAAATTTATGGGGGGGGGGACTAATGAATTGTTTGATTTTAAGTCAAGTCAATTGATCTTAGAAGACCGGTGATGACCGCACAGAGTAGCATTATAACAGAACTTTCAAACATATCTAGTATGATAAAACAGCGCTGCTTTAGCCCACATACCCACGACCGGAAGGAGCGGAAGCGGTTGACTGTGGCATAATAAAAGCTCCGCTGCTTTCGAGCCGTGTGTCACACTCGTTCAGCGGCCTCGTTTCGCTTCGACGGCTTTCCACCTCACCCTGCTTCATTCTACTACGTTAATAAATCATTAGCTCATCCATGAACATGATTTCTGCCCGAGTCCCATCGGATTGCATCGGCTGTGGGGATGAAGACGACAACTCCCATGATTCCACACTCAGTCACGGAGTCATCAAACTACGCCTTTGTTTCTTTGTTTATTTTGAATATGCGCCCTCTAGTGGCGAAAAATTACATATTGTGCCTTTACATGATCAAAACACAATTTTCACACATTATGATATAGAAGTCTGGTACATTAGTTCTGTCCAGGCATGTCACTGTGAAATTTCAGCCTCAATCTGTTACAGTGACAGTTTTAAGCAAGTATACCTTAGAGACTGCTGAATCACATCTATGAATCATATTTTATGCGCTTAAAGTTCAGTCAGTGTGCAGCTATCATTCTTATGTTGGTCATACAACACTTTAAAGTTGATATTCAGATCTACTACAGGGTGAATGTGATAAATTGTTCCACTTTGAATGTGACTGTGATCAGTCTGGTCATTATGGGATCTGCTGTGATTCCAACATAAGCGATAATTGCACAGAATTTGGTGTTTGTGTTTATGCATGCATTTAGCATCATATAAAAAGATGTCATATTCATTAAAATGTTTTACGGAACAAGTCATTTCAATACTCATAGTCAGCTCATAATTCAACCACCCCCAGAGGATTGTGGGCTAGTTGTCACACTTTTTACTCCAGTGATTATTTTTCTGGGTGGGGATACTGAATAAATCAATTTCTGTGTAGGCACATGCCTTGAAGTCTTGGCCACTAAACATTTCCAATTTTATTGCCAAAGTAATAAGATAGACTTGATTAAACACACTGATTTTTGCACATTATGGTGTATGGGGAAATCTGTCTATTAAAGGCTTTTTAGCAAAATTAAAAAGTTTTGAGTTTGTTTCAAACTAACTTTGTGTGTAACTTGACTTGACCTTATAATTAGAGAAATATCCCATGTGTTACCTTCCCTGTGTGACCACTAGCCCCAGTGTCTTCTAAATATTAGTACTCAGTTATATTAATTATCAACATTACAACATTCTCTGCCATTTAATTGCATGAAAGCGCGCCATTATGTCTCTATGGTACATTTCTTTTAAGTATATCCATTATAAACCGCAAACAAGATTTCACATCAGGTTGATATGGTGACTCCTTTTTTTTTTTTTTTTTTTTTTTTTAATATCATTGCATAGGTTGTCAGTGTAAATGGACCCTTTTCACAAGACTGTGATAACGCGTTTAACGGTCATCAGCATCGTAAATCCTCAAAAGTTATCCTTATCTTTAATATCATATTTGTATTTTTTTTTTTTAAATGTATGTACATTTATAACACTATTCTTTGTATTATATCACCTTTGCATCAAATGACAAAAAAAAACAGTTGACGCTAATGCAAGGGTGTTTCTAATGCAGCGTCTATGGGAGGGATGGTAAATTTGACATCGTTCTCTCTTCTGACTGCCGTTATCAGTCTCTCAATTTTTTCCTTTTATTGAAAGTCGTGAAAACAACCTCCGTGAAGTTGGCCCCCCACCCAACGCAAAACGTCGCAAAAATAGTCTCAATCGTCACTGCTCTTCAAGTTAACCCAACTATGACGACTTCCGCTGCTGAGAAACCCGGAAATGTGAAAAAGGTCCATGAAGCAAAACTTTTTTTGGATTTGTGGGGCAGGATTAAAATATGAGCCTACTCCATTATGACATCATAAGCCCATTACTGACCTACATTTAATTTTTAATTAATTTATTTTTTTTGTCGCGGTCACACACCAAGCGGCAACCTTCCAGTCTCTCTCGTGAAACCAACACGGAAGTGACTAAAACTGCAATTCATCGACTGGCCGCTAGAGGCTGGCTCCAAAAGGGAGTCAGTCCCATAGACTCCCCATGTTAAAATGCCCAATTTTACAGCAGAAAAAAATGTGTTTACAGCCTGGTACAAAAAGTGGTTTTGGTCTATATAGCTAATTTTGCCCTTCATGACAACTGTGGGGGGGTGAATTTTTTTATAACTTACCGTTTAAATTATATTAAGCCTTAAAAGTTCTGCATAATTAAGGGCGTGGCCACTTGAGTGACAGGTGGATTGCTGCTGCTGTCACCGCTGTGTATATACACACACACACACATATATAGTATGCATGAAAATGCGTATTTTTCAATTAAAGACCGCTTATAGATTTAATATGGGCTGCTTTTGGTACTTGACACCTTTTTATTGGTAACCGATCTTTAGATTAAATCACCATTGGTAGCGAGATTTATGGCAATGCTTTTTTCCTCAGTTGGTCAGAACAAATGTGGCAAACTTGTTACTTACTTGTTCAGATGGCAATATCCGGTAAAAATGCTTATTTGGGTCATATATTCCAAGACGTACGCTAGAATCTGTGATTGCGAAGTACAGTAAATATCCACACCGGTGCGGTGACTGACAGCCACACATACTCCTCAAAACATTAGATTCATCCGCGCTGGAGCCGAGCCGCTGCACAACCCACGCAGGGAAGATAATGCTGCACACAGCTGCAATTGCAGGTTTTCAAACAGAGATGGCGACAAAGAGGCAAAACTTACGGACTGCAGCTTTAAATATAAAATGTTTTTCTCTATTTAACAACATTACAATAGTGAAAGACGACTTCCCTTACTGATCACGTCTCTTGCGCGAAGGGATGTTGGACTCATGAAAAATAATCATGTAGTTTGTATTCACCAAAACTGATTTACTGAAGTCAATACACGGACGGAATTGGCGTTAGCGCGAGCGCTAACCCTATGCTGGGAATTCCTCTCGCGTGCTGCCGCTGCCTGTGATTTGCATACAAGGTCGTTAAGGCTGATCCTTGGTGGATAATTTTAACCTGAACACGAGGTGTGAGCACACGGTGGGGTTGGCAGAAAAGTGGAGCACTTCTGTTTAAATTGGGGCCATGGGAGAGACAGCTTAATTTTTGGGAATCGGTTCTTTGAACAGTTTATTTCAAAGAACCGGTTCAAAAATGATTCATCTATACTTTGCGTCCTGACGTTAAAAACGCCATCACATGTAGTCACCCAGCATGGTACGTGCTCTGAAAATGTTCCAATAGGCCAGGGTTCCTCAATAGGCGGCCCGCGGGCCACATCCGGCCCGTGAGAGGAAAAAAGTTTGGCCAGCGCTAATTTCAAATAATGTGGCATGAAAATTTAAACACAGCATCAGAAAGCTACATTAACTTACATCATGTCTACACGAGCGGCACGGTGCGACAATAAAATACAATAGAACTCGTTATAATCAGTGATGCTGTCTTGGATGCGACGCAACACAACAAATCCCGGACAATAAACTGCTGACTGTACTGACACAACGTTCAAATGATTTGCAATGCTTTGTCGCATCCTGTGTAGATTCGATGTGACAGCAAAAACACGGCGAGTGTGTAGAAAAGAAAAGTGGACACAGAAAATAAATTATTCAAATGTGAATGGACTGAACAGTTTTGAGTGAATGACTGATATCTTTATGAAATACACGTGTTGGTTCGCAGTGAGTTCACAGTTTTACCGTACAAGTTTGCTTTAATTTTTTTTCAAGATCTGAGGTAAAATAGGCCTATCTATTGTTGCTTTCGCTATGGCTATAAAGATAACGCAAAATAATATTCAAACTCACATTAGACACTTTTAACATTGAATAAAGCACATAATCATTACCTGAGATTATCACTGTCATATTTTGTATGTTGTTCCTGCCGCGACGTTACAGAAAATAAAAAACGTTCCTAAAATAGAATCCCATGTCACTTATTGTCACGTGTCGCAGGTGGTTAGGACAAAAACTACATGAAAAAGATACTTTTTATCGCGTCGTGTCTGGTTGGGACACACGATGTTACAGTTTGATCCCCCCAAAAAAATCTAAGCATAAAAATATTAATACTGACAAATCTAATAATTGAATCTGCAATTAGGGAAAGTGGAGAGAAGAGATCCAGTCTGGGAATGAGCAGGAACAGTTGATTTGCATGACAGACATGGAGATCCAGATTTTTTGTTTGTTCATTTGTTTTTAATATTCAACAGGCAAAGTTCTTCTGTATCTAAATGCAAAAATATTTGAATAAAACAGACTACTGGGGGAAAAATCTGAATGTTCATCTTGTGACCATCTTGTGATTATTTTAACAAAAGCAACAATAATATAATAATTGTAATAATAATAACAATTATATATATATATACAGTATATATATAGGTCAGTGGCCCTTGGCTTGGTATTGTTGGCAGAATTCGGCCCTCGGCGAAAACTAATTGAGGAACCCTGCAATAGGCCATATGTAAGCATATTTTTACTTTTAATTTGATTAATAACGGTTTATTGTAATTTCATGTTCAGTTCAGTTTGTTTCACCTATGATTTACACTGCAAAACAAACAATAATCATTTATAACTTATATGTGATTTGCATTTAACAATTCTATTTACGACTGAAAAAATGAAATGTTATAATAAAAAGCTATTTATTAAAACGAACTAAAATCAATCGATCGATTCGTTCAAACTGGATTAAAGGGTTACTCCACCCCAAAATGAAAATTTTGTCATTAATAAACTTACCCCCTTGTTGTTCCAAACCCCTAAAAGCTTCCAGTAACGTTATGAAGCGACGAGAATATTTTTGTACTCGAAGAAAACAAAAATAACGACTTTATTCAACAATTCGTCTCCTCTGTGTCTCTCCGCATCACCTTAGCGCCATTTTGGAGAATATCCTCTGAACACAAGCAGCGTACGCTCTTCTGTGTCAGCCACGCTGCACGGATGCGCTGTTTTCATTCAAATCAAAGAGTAAATACACCAGAGGAGACGAATTGTTGAATAAAGTCATTATTTTTGTTTTCTTCGCGTACAAAGTATTCTCGTCGCTTCATAACATTGCGGTTGAACCTCTGATGGCAGATTGGCTATACTTACGATGTCTTTCATACTTTTCTGGACCTTGACAGTGAATTTACTTGGCAGTCAATCGGACAGTCACAAG